GTTGGCAGTGAGGAGCAGTCATTCTTAGGTCCCTCCACGTGTTGGCGACCCCCCCACAGGTGGCTGGTCTGGAATCGCTCTCTCTGAACCATTCCAGAAACCTCACTGATGGCGCAAGGGATGTGGCACGAGGGGACATGGACCACATAGCCTGGACGGCACTGGGCCTACAACATGTGCTTTGTTCGGAGCTTTCCAGGGTCCACAGCCACAGGTAAGAACCACTGATCACTGCCTCAGGAAGAGAGCGATGATGATTGTGATCTCAATTGTGATCGGTGCTTGAAACTGAACTGAAATTCAATGGGAACCAGAACTACAGAGATTTACAGGGTTTAAAGAAAAAGTCTAACTGCATTAACCGTGAAAGACAAATATTCTGAACAGTGTTTTGTTCCTTGTTTTCAAAATGTGAGTTGTTTTGAATTGTAAGATGTGTTATCCAACAAAAACGGCTCCAACGGCTTGACCTGGAGCTTTCCAGAGGGATCTGCCAAGAGTGTGTCCCGGGAAGCCGTGAAGGGGTCCCCAGGGAGCCTTGCGGCGGGGTCTGCTGACATCCTCTGGCTCCGACAGTGGGGCTGTCCGTCTGCACAGCTTGCTTCTGGGGACTGATCAGGCCAAGTGGCCTGTGAGGCGTACACTGTGCCATACAGAATGCAAATTCACACACACGCAAGCATTCAAACACCAGATGCGTTACTGATTATTTGGCCTTTTTTAAAAATCAGTTTATTAAAAAAAAAAAAACAGAAATTGAGAGCTTTTTGTCTCTGAGAAGTTTTGTTAATATTCCTGTTAGTGACCTTTAAAGTGTGGGTTTGTGTGCAGTTTGGTCAACCAGCAAGTACTGACCATGTCCGAACATCTCTGAGAAGTGACCCGCCACCACTGGGAGGTGCTCAGTGGCATTCACAAGGCCACTGTGCTCCTGACCACTTACTAACATCACCCTTGTTTTTCCTGTGCTATTTCAGCCTGCTGGGGTTTTTTCTATACAGAATTATTAAAGAGCTAAACACAAATGTTTCACAACAAGCCAAATTTTGTTTTATCTTTGAACAAAACATTTCATAGCATTCTCATTTTAAGGCCATGGTTCAAGCACTGGCTGAAATTCTATCTTCTTGGGAAATATTTTTTTTTCAATTATCAAATTAATCTTTTTTCTCAAAACACGAGCATCTTGCTTGCCAGCAACCATCCTGCACCCAGCCTGTAGGCCCCACCTCTAGGTGGGGGCAGCTCCACCCAAAGGAGCCGGTCTCTGCCCCAGGACACCCTCCTGCGCTGAGCTCCGTGGGAGACCCTGACCAGTCCACTCTCTGACGGGCGCAGCACTTTAAATAAGAGGGTGGTCCTGGCGAGGCAGGCACAGCGGGCGACCTCTGTGACCTCCCAGGCTTTCTAGAACACAGCTCCCAGAGCAACAGAGGACAGTGTGAACCTTGAGCCAGAGAAAGGGTGCCGCTCCTGCTGAGCTCCTCAGAGCCCCGACATGGCAGCTGTCAGCCCCTGTCCTCACATTCCACCCCAACTTGCCCTGGGGCACAGGGCCTTCAGGACCCGCAGTTCAGCTCCTCCTTAACTGTCTCCTTTCCACCCAAAGTCTCCACCTCTCTCCTTACCCCTGCTCCAGGAGGGCAGGCCACTCACCCAGGGCTGCCCTGGAGAGCCCCACCTCCCTGTGGGAAGCAGATGGCCCACCACTGTTCCAGACTCAGCGAAGCACTCCAGCCCCAGGTCCCAGCCGGGATGACACCTTCCCATTTATCACACAATGTTGCCACAAACGTTGGTGCTCTGGCTACCAGTAACAGGTGCTTTGTGGTGACCGGAATTGTGGAACCCTGTGGCCCGGGACCCTCGAGTCCTAGCAGGCTCTTTTCTTCTTGTCCCAGAGGCCTGCCCCTCCTCCCTTGCAGGTCCTTTCCCCCATGCTCTTCCTTTCCATCCCAGCGTGGCTTCACGGATGCCCAGGAAGGTGGATCCCCCAGCACAGTCCTGCCCGCCTGCAGCACTGGCCTGCCCTGGCTCCCGGGGAGCCTCGAGGGCCACAGATCCCTCTGAGGTCCCATAGGACACTCCAGAAGGGTGACTTAACCCCTCGGGCTCTCTCCTCACCTGAAAATACTTGAATGACTGATCTCTGGTGAACTTTACGGTCTTATTTTAAAAATCTGCTTTTGCCCGTCCTGCTTCTTGTCTGGGCTGAGGACCTGAACTTCCACTAGGGGGCAGGATTCTACCATCGCGTTATGAAAGGATTTTCTGATGGATTCCTGAGAGCAGAAAACTTCAAAGAAACTCCTTTTCTCACTCGCACCGCTTTTTAAAAGTAAAAGCCAAGGTGAAAGAAGGCCTGCCAGGCCGTGACCCACATATTTCAGAAGCACCTGGATCCATTTTTAATATAAGCATAAAACAAAATCCACCTCCTGCCTCACAAACTCTATAATTTGGTATGAAAATCAGGTAAAACTTGTTCCCTGTCGAACAGTTCAAGGTTTTTTGTCTGCCAGTTGGGAGGCAGCAGACCCCAGCCCCGCGGTGCACGCCTGCGAACAGCTCCTGCAGCCTGCAGTCACTGGGCCCTGGCAGCTCCGGGATCCCTGAATTTTATGGCTGTCCTTCACCAGCTGGGCACACTTCAGGGCAGACAGCACTTGGCTTTCTGCATTTACTTGTCAAATCCTTAAAAGGAGATTCTTTAAATAGATTTTATGACATTTCATCATACTTTAAAAATTATTGCCAAAATTGGCTTTTCCGTGCACGCTGCCCCCAGCACTGGATCCGCGTCCCCTGCGCATCCTCGCCAAGCGGCTCTGCCCCGCCGAGCTCGGCTGTCCTCCGAGGGGCGCGCACCTGGGTCTCTACTCCAGCTCCTAAGCTGACCCTTCCCTCCGCCGCGGCTTGCAGTTGACGGCCTGATAGGCGGTAGTTGGACCCTAAAGTTTCTTAAAACCCAGCCCGTTCTCCATCAGTTCGGCGTCAGAGCCGCCAGAACCCAGCAGGTTGGCCCCTGGGGCAGACGCGGCGCACAACCCTGCTCCCCGCTTACCTTCGCCACTTGTAGAGGCTGCTTCTGCTCCTTGCCGCCCTGCAGCCGGAACCCCCAGGGCGCCCCTCCAGTCATGGAGATGCAGATGAAGTCCCCCGTGCCCATCTTCCCTCTGGCTGGGCAGCGTGGTGCGCTGGAAGGCCGTGGGCGGACGCGCGCAGCTGGTGCAACGGGACCGACCGGGCGCGCAGCCGCGCGGTGCTGGGTGCCTCCGGTGGGTCCTGCGCCCGCGAGGCTGGGCGTCCAGGGAGGGCGCGCAGCAGCCGCGGGTCGGGAGGTGGGAGGGCGAGCAGCATTCCTCCGCGGAGCGGCTGAATCCCGGCGCTTAAGAAAGAACAGTTGAAAACCTGGCGGCGAATAATTCTATAAATAGCAGAGAACACGTGAAGTTTTAATCCCGCGCCACCAGTGACATCCTAAAATATGTGCTTGGAGAATACGACTTCTGGAGGAGCAGATTCTCCAAAGGAATGTGAGATTCACCCCGAAGAGTGGAATGGACAGAGAGTTCAAGTGGGTCAGGCGACTGCGTTTATGCAGTCTGCTGAGTCAATCCCCTAAGAGGAGGATTATTAACAATTACTAACATTTCTACAAACCTCCTGTTTTCTGACCTGTAGTATGTATGGAGGAAGGGAGGGAAGAAGAGAGATGGAGAGAGAGGGAACCCTGCTTCCCCCATCTACCTCCTAATAAGTACTGTGTTGCATGGTTTGGGAATTTCAACTCTAAATGCTCTTTATTCCTTCCTCTGACCTTCTTAAAACTGAATCTGAGAGTCAACAGCTGCATCACCTACAAGATGGTTTCTGTCGTTTCTCATTATATGTTCTGAATCTGGGTGGTCCAAAATGGACATAGATTTCACATGTGTTCCAGAATATTCTCATGTTTTAAATTGGAACATGAGATACCAGAAATATACAAGTGGAAAGTTTTAACTTGGCCATGATGATTTTCTTTTCCATAACCCTCATCCACATAAGAACACAGGTAGGAGGAGGATCCTGGGAGAGTCCGTGTGCTCCAGGTGGGACCAAAGAGTAGCCAAGCAGACAGATGCAGACACCCACACAGGGCTTCACACAGCACCCAGGCACCGGGAAGACGAGAAGTCAGCAGCAAAGGTTGCCAGGCCATGGCTCATCCGCAGATGGATTCTCTCAGAAAGGGGAACTAACTTTAGCTTTTTTAAACACAGAAGAAGGCTGGAGGTTTAGCACTGCAGAGCACTCGCCTAGTAGGCAGGAGGCCCTGTGTCTCCCCCCAGCACCACACACACACACACACACACACACACACACACACACAAGACCGTTAACAAGGCATTGCAGTAGCCCAGCAGACCTGAGCTCTGAGAGCAGAAGGCAATAGCAGCTTGCACAGTTGTATCCACCGCTGTCCCCTTTGCTGTGCTACCCACTCTAGTTTGGCTCCTGTCCCCACAGCAGACCCACAGGTGACATGCTGACCATGCCCCTGGAGGGTTACTGCCTCAGCCCAGGGCCTAGCACGCCTTGGCCCTCCTGCCTCCCCAGCCACCCTCATCTCTGCTTCCTCTTCCTGGGAAAGTTCTCAGCTCTGCTCAACCACTGTGTTGGTGTGCCTTTGGGTAGAACCAGTCCTCACATTTCCACTTATGCCCCTTCTATGGGTTCTCCCATTCACCCTACAGAATTCAACTCTCCCCTATGGTCTCAGACATATTTCCTTAACCCCAGGCCAATGCATTCAACTGTCTGTGAGACCTGTTTCCATGATATGGATTTATCACAGATACCTACGACTCAGGGCTGGAGTGCAGCTCAGTGGTAGAGCACTTGTCTAGCATGCCCAAAACCCTGGGCTCCATCCCCAGCACCACAGGAAAAAGAAAGAAGAAATATGACTTTGATCTCTATCTCGATTCCTCACACGGAACTCCTAAAACCCTTGGAAATTGTTAGGAAACCTAAAGTCCATGTGTTGAAATTGAAGTTAACATTCCGCCCAGTACTGCTGTCCCCCTGAGCCCTTCCACCCTTGACTTAATTGTTGTGAGACACTGGAACTGGGACAGCATAATGTAACGGAGCAGAAGATAAGTGGCTCGGCGCCAGCATCTCTAACTGCAAGGGTCCGGTGCGGGGCTGCAAGACCTGTGTGCGGGTTGCAGCCCAGATCTGACTGCACCCTCCACTACAGAACAGGGAATCCAATCTGCTAGGCCTGCTGGAGACACTCCTGCCAGGACCTGGATGTGTGTACTGCCCTTATCCTCAGGCTCCCGTGCACCCAGCCAGGACTTAAACTCTGCCTAGTTAAAGCACATTCTTTAAAGCCTTGGTGCCAAGGGTGGAGAGCCTCCACTTGCCAGTCTCACTTGACCTCTGCCACTGAGCTATCATCCCAGCCCTGAGGTGCCTGCTGGTGATGGCTGCCCAGCCTTCAGGCCTTGGGCCCCTCTCTGCTCCTCCCCTGCTCCTGCCCCACTAGGCCCTGCACATCCAGCCTCCAGAGAGAGGCCAGGGTCACTTCCGTCTGGCTGGGCTGCATCAGCCTCCTAACACTCCCTGCTCCAATCTGCTTCTACCTCCACTCGGCTTCCCTCTATGGCCAGAAGCAATTTCTGAAATACATTTTCTGTTCCACTTTTCCTGTTCCAGGGCTCCTAGGATAAAACCACAGCTCATTTACACAGAGGACTTCTGCCTCGGCTCCCAGTGCTCCCCACCTTGGTGATCACTCAGACACGGAGCTTCTTTTAATCTCTAACTTGCCTGCTGCTCCATCTGCTCAGCACTCCTCAGCCAGCCAATGCCCACCCTTCCAGTTCCACATCCCCGTCTCAGGAGGCCTGTCCTGACCCTCCTGTCCTGATGTCCAGGGTAGGCACTCCTTCCCCACTGCCTGCACTCGGCACTCTCCTTTTCACTCCCAGAGTCTCCCAAATGGTGTGTGTCCCACGCGAGATTGCTCACCCAAGAGACTGGGCCACTGCTGGCCTATTCAGAAGTCCAACAATAATAACTGGAGCTCAGTTAAGGAGAGTGAAGAGTAGGCAAGATTTCCCACGACGAGGACACAGACAATACATCCACGGAGTTCTAACTTAGTTTCTTTTTCTTCACTTCTTTTGACTGGAAAGGGGCTTAGGCAGACCAAAATCCCCGAGCAGAACACACGGGAGGCCACATGGATCAGGGCCGTCTCCCTGTGCCCGCCCCTCCCGGCTGTGGGCTGGTTTAGCTGGCGCCCACGGCTGGAATACCAGACAGCTCTCTCGGTCCCTGCCGTCCCCAGGGGTGCCCAGGAGCTGGGACCTCAGAACCACCTGCTGTCACATGGATGTCCCAACTACGTGTTTGAGCCTTGTCCCTGCTCTGTACATCCAGACTCAGTGGAGGAACTGCACAGGGTGGACTTGACCTTCTCCTGCCCTTCAGGGAGAGGGATCCCTCAACTCCTCACATGGCCACAGAACCAGCTTTACAGGCCCTGGACTTTGGGTGAACTCCAGCAAGTACACACAGAGAGCATGACTAGAATCGAGTCAGTTACGTGGCGGCACGCTGAAAGCAGACTTCGACCGTAGAAACCTGGCTTGGACTTTATTGACAGATTTTACTGACCAGTAACAAGAAGAATGTCAAGCAACGTGCTTTCTACATTTCTGACTCCTGCTCTTTGCAGTCCCAAGTGAAAGAATTAAACCTCTCCAAGAAAATGTCATCTGCCAAACTCTGGGGACCAGGGAAGATGGGTGGCCAGGCCAAACACAGCTCCAAGTCACGCCAGAATCACTAGGAACCTGAGCCCAGAGCCCTCACCACACCAGGCCACACAGAAAAGGTCCGGTGGGCACCTGGAGGCTGCAGGGGTCACGCTTTCCAGAACTGTCCAGATCTGGCCCTAACGAGCTCTGGGGACACATTCCCTCCAGCCTAGGCAGTCATGCCAGCACAGAAGAGTTCCAACAGCAGGAAGGCGGTCCACCAAAGTGCAGCCCAGTCCTTCTCTCCGTGTCGGCCCTATTCTCCCCCACCATCTCTGTCCGTTTTTAGTGCTGGTCCTGGTCTTGATCAGGATCACTAGGAAGAGGGCCAAGTGTCCTCATATGGGGGAAATTTTCTTCTCTGTAGTAATTTAAAATACCTTTGAAAACCCATTTTCTCTTTTTAGCTGAAAGGTAGATTCAAAACATTAAAGTGATACTTCAGAAAGTCATCCACTCTACCAGATAGTTCAAGAAAATATAAGAAAGGTTTGTAGAAAGGCATATGTCAACATGTATGAAAATCTAGACAAGTTGACCATCTAAAAACTACAATTTATGTCATCATGATAGGAGAATTTATTTCCTATACGAGGCATTTCAGATACATTGTTTCTGACATATCTCATTTAAGAAATGAATTTTTTAAAAATCTAGTAATCACCCAGATTTAGATAATTAATTTGCAAAGCTGTAATACCTAGACCAAGGGTATTGTATTTTGGGGGGAATCCAGTGTTTTAGCAAAAATGTCTAGTTAAAAATACATGAAACCCAGCAGTTATGGCACAGAAATCCCAGATGAGACTGTGTCCCTCATTCCCACATTTCCCGTTAACTGAGTAGTTGGGTTTGCTGTGGATCACTGTAACTGGTTTTCCTGTGAAGTCCACACTTTTATTTAAAGTTAAACTTGACAGAGCCTGACTTAAACAAAGGGGGAACTTTTCAGTCCAAGAGCAAAATCAGATAATGATCATTAAAACTAATTTTGCTTAAAATTTTCCAAATCCACCTTCTCCTGTCTTATCAATAAATGAAACCCGCTGCTGGAATGAGGCAGGATGCTTTGTTTCAGGCTCAGTAAAGCAGAGGCAGTCTTTCTAGTTAGCACAGACATTCAATCAAAAACACTCGAGCTGAGGTTGTGGCTCAGTGGTAGAGCGCTCGCCTAGCAGGTGGGAGGCACTGGGTTTCATCCTCAGCACCACATAAAAATAAATAAATAAAATAAAGGTATTGTGTCCAACTATCACACACACACACACACACACACACATACACTTTAGTTTCCTCAGGAATTGCGTGGGCTCCAGAGCCCCACAAGTAAGTCATCTCCAGTAGTCTTCTGGAGTGAACAAGTAATGGGCACCACACAGTACAGTGGCTGTCAAAACCACTAAACTACAGTTTTAGATTCAAGCAACTTTTGTTCAAAGATTGACAAGCTTTATAGTGGGGCTGGAATTCTTTTGTCAC